AATTTAATGAAAATTATGAAAGGGTTGATAATGATTTTACTAGTGACTGAACAGAAGTCAAATATGTGAGTGATTGGAGGAATGGAGACAAGCTGTCCAAATGATTGGACAGGCTTTTTTTGATGAAAACATGTATGAAAGGTAGAACACAAAGTTTGGAGGAAAACCTTTTACCAGCGTTCAAACTGAAGAGCTCAGAAGAGACTTTTTTGTGAGGAACAGAACAATTCATGGACTTTTACATGTCAAGTAAGCTCAAGAATGGAATAACGTATTAGTTATAGGCATTCAGGACCAAAAAAAATTAAATAAACTATCCCAGGACAATAAAGAAGAGACCAACAGAATTAATTGTATTTGTAACTCTCTTCTCTGAGTTGGTCGAAATTGCATTGAACCTTAGTTAAAGTACAGTAGACCCCCCTATAACACGGGTTCATATAATTCGGATTCGTATATAACAGCGAAAAAATTGTGACCGTATTTGTATAAACACGTTAAAACAGACTCATATAATTCAGTAAAACGTCATTGCTGACTCGTGTTGCGACAGGATTGGTCAAATCTAGACCAATAGCGGATGTTGCACAAACCACTGAGTTTAAACAAGCAGCGGACCTACTAAAACCATTTATTATTTAACATCCATAAAAATTATATATATATTAATGATGTCTCCAAAGTTCAGCGAATTTTTCGGCAGAAAAATAATTTATCAGGAAATGCACCCCCTTGTTCAATGTGCTGCTCCACGATGAAAACAAACTTAAGCAATGGCATCATCGAATGATGCACACTCGGTAAGTAATACTACAATTTTTTGTTTATAGCATAGTTTATATGGATTATTCCCAAAAAATTATATATGTTTTGGAAATGTTGAGTCAAATTAGTCTAGAATTGATTAATTTTATGGAAGAGGAAGAAAATTACAGCCGTAATTTTCTTTCATATGGAAAAATACAGCCGTAGTCCGTAAACTGCATATGTGCCGAGCTGTGATTGACTCGTGTATGTAATGACTCGTAAAACATGAATTTCATAAAAAATGGAACATATCTACCGTGTTATGGGGGGGTTGACTGTATATGTACAGCTAAGGAGAATATGCCCCTAAAATGGAAATTAAATTCTCTTTGTTGATAACTTAAAAGTCATTTTTAGATGAGTCAGTTCAATCCATACATTAATGTGATGACTTTAATGAAAGCACACTAAAAATTTATGCAAGATCTGCTGCAAAGGTCAATCATTCAGGCCAAAAAGATACTATGACTGGCATTTTAGATGCAGAGAATGGTGTGGAATCTTACAATAGCATAAATCTTATGAAAATTTACAGTAGAACCTCGATTATCCGCCTTAATTGGGGACTGGGGTTGGTCGGATAATTGAAAAGTCGGATAACCGAAAAGTATGAAAAAATCCATTATTAGTGTAGTATATTATTATATCCCATGTAATTAGTATATTAGTATATCGCTATTAACCTATTTTGCGTTGAATTTTCATCGATGTTAAGCCTAACAAAAATTTTTTAAAATAATAATCGTCGCTATTGTA